ATTTTCAAGGATATATACAACCTAGAAATAGGCTAATAAGGTATTGCATAATAGAGATATTTTCAGATATTTCATTATTGTTATCACTATTAACACAGAAAAACAGAGTTATATAGAACTTTTAAAATCATAAACTTCCTTTCTCATTAAAAACCTTTAGGTGTAGGCAGTGCAAAAATCATGAAACCTCTTTTATAGATAAGGAAACTGAAGCTCAGAGAGTGATTTGGTCATGGACTCACAGCTAGTAACTGTTAGGGCCAGGACATGAATCCATGTTTCCTCACGCTAGGTCAGCCAGTAAATATTTATTAAGCACCTACTGTGTGCCAGGCACTGTCCTAAGTGCTAGGGATATAAAAAAAGAAAGGCAAAAGACAGTCTCCTAACAAGCTCAAAGTCTAGTGGGGGAAACACCAAACAAATAATAATATACAAACAAGCTATACAAAGGATGAATTGGAGATAATCAATAAAAGGAAAGCATTAGCATTAAGGGTGATAGGGAAAGGCTTCTTGTTGATGGTGAGATTTGGAATTTAGTGGGGGTTTGGGACCCAGGCAATAGAGATGAGGAGTAAGAAGAGACAGATATACAGTACAACCAGTAAAAATATTTGGAGTCAAGGGGATGGAATATCTTATTTGAGGAACAGAAAGGAGGCCTAGTGTCATCTGAACAGAGTATAAGTTCAGGTGGGGGTATGTGTAAGATGTAAGAAGATCAGAAAGGTGTGTGTGTGAGGGGCAGGTAATGAAAGGTTGAATGCCAAATAGAGGATTTTATATTTGATCCTGGAGGTGATAGGGAGCCACTGAAGTTTACTGAATAGAGAGGTGACATACTGCATTTAATGTCCACGGGACATCCAGTTCAAGATGTCCAATAGGTAGCTGGGGATTTGGGTTGGGAGGTCAGCAGAGAGATCGGGGCTGGATAAATAAACTTGAGAAGCAACAGTATAGAGGTGATAATTGAGTTAAAATAGTAAAAAGGGAGAAAAGAAGAGAGTCCAGGACACAAGATGGCCTGGGAAATAACTGAGAGGTTGAAGGACTGGTGATTGTGGTGTCAATAAAAAATGGGGTTTGGCATTTCAAGGCAGAAGGAAAGGTGGAATAATGATACCATGAAATAAGGCAATTTCAGAGTTCAAGAACATAGTTATAGTGCATTTGTGGGTAATGGCAAGAGAAAGCATATGGACTTCTTTGTGTGGCTAAGGTGGGGTGGAGGAGCCCCAGGAAATGAATACATTGAGGAATTGTGAGGTTAGAGTGTTTGAGGGAGCATCAATATGTATACTGAAACTTCATACTAAGAGGTCAGGAGTTAAAGAGGAGTGAGAGGAGAGGACTGAGCTAGGCAATTAACTCACTGAGGAAAGAAGTGGAGTGTCCTGGAGGTTAGTTAGTAGTCATGAGCTATCAGGATTCTGAACGGTATTTGTGGATTGAGAGAATGTTAGAGCAGTGTTACTCAGTGATGATGACTGAGGGAGAATCTGCAAGTGGACATTTGGAGCAAGGAGTACTTCCAGCTCCTCCACTTCAACTCATGAGTGAAAGTGCAGCCAGTGTTAGAAGGGGAGGCAAGGAGACTGTGTTATCAGGAGGGAGCCAGGTATCAGTGAGAACCAGAAGATGAAAGGCATGGGAAAGGAAAAGATTTAAGATGAAAGCAAGTTCATTGTCCATGGAGCAGACATGCCAAATAGCATAGTGGAAGGGGTGGGTGGCTTTAGAGTGAAACACTGAAGGGGAGGTTATATCACACTACCTTTTAACTATACATTTAATGAATATATAACAGGAACTTTTAGTTAAATAGATGTTACTGAGATAGTTAATACTTAAAATACTTAAGTTTTAGTTAAAAGTCTTTCCTAAATTTAGCCAAAACCTACCTATTTCCATCTTAATACTCATTATGCCTAATTCTTTCTCCTAATGAGAACAAGCCTAATCTCCTCTCCCCACCCCCACCCCAAGGCAATGGGGTGAAGTGACTTGCCCAGAGTCACGCAGCTAATAAGTGTCAAGTGTCTGAGGCCACATTTGAACTCAGGTCTTCCCGAATCCAGGGCTGGTGCTCCTAGTCTCTTTTTTTATGTGATAGTCCTTTAAATGCTTGAGGACTACTATCATGTCCCCTCCAAGTTTTCTCTTCTCCAGATTAAGCCTCTTCAACATGTTGTTCCACACAGCAGGCCTTATACACAGATGGAATTATTTGAAGGGAACTGTTCCCATTATACCTCCTCCACTTTGTTCCAGGATTCTGGAGTTCAAAGTCTTGAGGGAAAGATACTAATATTTTGATCTCTAGAGAAATGAACAGTCCACAAAACCTTATGAAAGTAGTCTTTAAAATCCTTGCTGCTAGAATCTCTGATAAAAGTCTCATTTCTAAGATATATTGGAGGGAGGGGGAGAAGGATTGAAATTTATAAGAACAAGGGCTCTGTTCTCCAAATGATAAATGGTCAAAGGATATAAATATAGGCAGTTTTCATAGACAGAAATCCAAGTTACCAATATATACCTATATACCAATATATATGAAAAATTTCATAAATCACTAATAATTAGAAAAAACCCAAATTAAAACAACTCTTGAGGATTCACCTCACACTCAGCAGATTGATAAAGATGACAAAAAGTGAAAATAACAAATGTTATAGTTTTAGTACAACTATGAATTGGTAACCACTCTGGAAAGCACTTGAAACTACAACCCTAACACAATTAAACTGATCATATACCCTTTGATCCAAAAATACCAATACTAGGTTTATACCCCAAAGAGCTAATAAAAAATAATCCATTTGTACAAAAATATTGTAGAAGCTCCTTTTGAGGTAGCAAAGCATTGGAAACTGAGGTGCTGCCCACCTATTGGAAATGGTTAAACAATTTATAAGACAAAAATGTGATGGAATTACTACTGTGCTGTAAGAAATGATGAAGGAGACAGTTTCGAAGAAATCTGGGAAGACATGTATGAATTGATGCAGAGCAAAGTGAGTAGGAACAGGAGAACAATTTATACAATAACAACAATATTATAAAGACAAACAACTATGATAGACTTAGGAACTCTAATAAACACAATGACCAACCACAATTTCAGAGATTCATAATGAAACATGTTTCCCACCTTTGGATAGAGAGCTGATGGACTCAGATTAGAGGTTAAGATGTATTTTTTTGGATGTGGCCAATATGGGAAATTATTTTGCTTGACTATACATATCTGGAATAGGAATTTTATTGCATTTTCTCAGTGAGGGGCAGCGGGAAGAAAGAAAGTGGGAGAAAGAGAAGGCAGATCTTCATCAAAAATAAAATTTAATTAAATAGAAAAGAAAATCTTCACTACCTGGTATAATAATAGTTGTCTCTGGAATGAATTCCACTTTTATTCTTCCAAAATTGATTTCAAAACAGAGTAACAAAGAAAAAAGTCTGGTAAATCATTATCAATGATAAAATCACAATATACTGGTGTTAAAATAGTATCAAATGAGAGTTCACAAGGACTTATTAAAAGATCAATTACACAAACACAGGCGAATTGTTAAAATTTTGCTTTCAGTTGTTTTTCAGTTGTGCTCAACTTTTCATGACCCCCATTTGTAGTTTTCTTGGCAGAGATACTAGAATGGTCTGTCATTTATTTTTCCAGCTCATTTTACAGATGAGGAAACTGAGGTAAACAGGGTTAAGTGACTTGGCCAGGGTCATACAGTTAGTAAGTGTCTGCGGCCAGATTTGTACTCTGAAAGAGGAGTCTTCCTGATGCTAGTCCTGGCACTCTATCCACTGTGCCACCTAGCTACCTTAATTAACTGTAACCAACTACTAAAAACACTTAATATAAATTTTTATTCTACACTTCATTTTTCTCAGGAGGTAAACTGATAAGAAAAAAATCACAAATTGGTAAAAGTAATTTCCATTAATGTCTGTAGAATCACAAAATCTGTAATAATCAAAGAAATATTAATCATATTCAGCAGCTTATACTTGCTAATATAGGACAGAGGACTAATATGTATTAGACGGATTTTTAATAAATTCTGAAGCAAAAATGTTTTTCTGGTTGACACTTAATTATCTACAAAACTAAATTAACTAGAATGCTTCACTCTGACCACTCTAATTGAGAATTTATTGTAAAATTTAAGTCCTAAATTGCTATATACAATGATATGCAAACATGAATAAATAAAATGTCTTTTTTTTTACAATATTTATGCCAAAGTGAAATTAAGTAAATGAAAATAAATCAAAGATTAGAAAATGAGGAGGAGGCTCGAACAAGGGGGAAATCTTGTGAAGGTCCTATAATCAACATGGTCACTTTCACTTGGGTTTCTTTCCCTGGTGCGTGGTACTATAAATGAGTTTAGTGACTCGTCTTGTGCTCTACACTACTCTTCTAATACTAGGGACTCTTCTAGTACCTATTACTAAGGAAGAATACCCATTCTACTTTGGCCCTATGGGCCAAAGTAGGTTGCTTTCTACAGATTTGGCCTGAGATCTCTTGGCCTTTAGTCATGAATTGGAGCTTTGGCAAATGAACCTAGGGCTCAGGGGACAAAGTTCTGGCTGAGAACCAGGTAACAGTTCTTTTCATTATATGTTACTCTCCACATTGGTTTTTAGTACTGGTACACAGAGAGGGAGAGTCTTCTGATAAGGTCTGACAGGAGAGAATGAAATTAAAAGTATAGCGCAAAGAGAAAAAAGTTTAACGGGGAATGGTCAACCAAATGGTTTACTCATGTTAGAAGTCGCTGAGTCAAGATGAGGGTGAGGGTTGGGTCCGGGATCAAAATGTAGCACATAACTATATGTTGCTGTCTAGGAAGAAGGACTTGCAGTGAATAAAACAGAAAACATAGCATATCTACAGATAAAAGATGCCTGAAGCCAAACATCAGTGTTGAAACAGAGACACTGATCACAAACACTGACTGGGAACTTCTTACCTCATTAAATCTTGTTACAAGATTTTCCAGAGCATTGTGCTCACTGTTCTGGGAGGTAAGGATAGATGCAGACACTGTAGCCTTGAGCCATGGAAGTTTACTCTGGCATTCAGCATTTCCCAAGTCCCTGGTTAAGAAGCAAAGGTAGTCGACAGGCAACACTTGTCGGTAGATACTCTGCTCCTGTTCAGTCAGAATACAAGCAACTTCCTCTGGGAACTGAATGAGGTGTTGAAGTTCTACGAGCTCATTACTTAGACCAGCTACATTTGAAGGGAGGCTGGTTGAACTGGCCACGGAGGTACATTGTTGACGTTCTAAAACAAAGCAAAACAGAGAAGGTTATGCGACATTTTGTCTTTTTTTTTCCTTTTTTTCTTTTTGCCGAAGTTTTGTTCAAGCCCTACTTTTTAAATAGCTTTCCTCATCAACTGATAAATCCATTATTATACAGCTGTCCTTGATAGCGGATCATTTGACTTTGGACCTATGACACCTTTTCTTATACTCAGAGATAGCTTGGTTTAGGTCACTGTTCCGCAGTTTATTGTCATATTTTGCAAAGAAGTTCTGTTCATTGTTTTGTTCTAGGTTTCCTCATTCCCCTTTCTAAATTCTCAATGTAAATGGCAAGTGTGTGTGTGTGTGTGTGTGTGTGTGTGTGCGTGAGAGAGAGAGAGAGAGAAAGAGAGAGAAAGAGACTGCTGAAGAGGGAAGAGAGATAACCATGGCATACAAATGGAAGACGACTACAGGGATGTATGCATGTGAACAGAGGAGACTTCACATCTTCCACTGGACATTTTCATGATACACTCTACCAGTCCATGTTCTCTCTCCCTTAGAAGATAAGATAGAGAACCAACTTTCTGCAGGAGGAAAAGTGTTCTAGTCTCATAAGACTCCCTCCCCCTAGGTCCATCTGCATTCTGGATACTTATATTTCCCTACTCAGGCAGACCTTGAGAACATATGTCATTTGAATGCAGAGGGTTTCCAGTATGTACATCTGTTGCCCTACCTGGTTTCAATTCCACCAAACAAGATGCCCCTTTCAGGATAAGCTCATCACTTCTAAACTGACCACCATGCTGCAAACTCAAGCCTTGACTGACTACCTCCCTCAGCTTCCTCTCCCCTCCCACTGGAGGGGTACCAAACTTCTCCCAATGCCTTCCTTTAGAGGGCAAAAACTAGACCCAGCTCACTCCACTTTTCATCTAACTTTTCTTAATTTCAACTCCATGGAATGAGATGCCTCCGTCCTCTCCCCTTCCCAACCCACTTCTCCCTTTTCTGCCTCTTTTTGTGTGTTGCCTCCCCTGTAAGCAATTTGAGGGCAGGGACTATCTTTATTAATTATATACCCAGCACTTAGCACACCACCTGGCATACAGGAGGCATTTAATAAATGCTTTTTGGATTGGATTAAATTGGATTGGACAGAATACAATCTGGCTATATTTTGCTATTTAAGTGGAAGGTTGGAGAAATTCCTTAATCCAACTGAACACAAAGGCTCTGGGTTCTCAAGTGAATCAAAAACACTTCTCTCCTAATTAACTAACAAGATGTTCTGTGTCCTGATACCTTTATCAAGTGAGCATGCGTCCTTGATTGAGTTATGCAATCAGTCAAAAAAAGGTATAACATTGGTGTAAACAATTCCTAGGCATTTCTATCAAATCAATAAAAGCCATAATAAGCTAGATGTAGACAAAATCTTTAATAAATTCAGAAGGAGTAAAATTCTTGCCATTTTGATGAAATAAGATGACCTACGGAGCAAGTATATTGGAATGAGTTAAGTCAATTATGCCCTATAGGTTTTGGATAAAAGACCACAACAATAGAGCAATTCCAGCCAAGCCCTTGGGAGGGAATTACCTGAGGGGTACCTCCTCTCTCTCACCCCTCACTGACCATGGGAAGACTTTAAAAATCCCAAAAGGCTGGAAGGTTTGGATTTCCCATTTGTGTCGGCAAGAGTGTGTCCAGAATAGCTGGGGCTAACAGCATTACCTATCCTGGTACCAAGAACAAAGTGAATGCACTTCAAACTCTATAACATGGAACCACACTTCAGGGGAACTTCATGACGGATACGGAAGAGAGAAATTTCACCCAACCACAAGCTGTGAGTTACTCCACTACATACGCTCCTTAAACCTGAGCACCTTTTCCTTTGGACTCTTTATGTAGGTGCGGGAGAGTATCTGAGACTTTTAGGATCTTTTACAGCAATTACTTTAAGTTCGAATTCATTCTCCCCAGACACTGAGTGGGTGTATAAAGGGGAGAGTTCACTCCTCATTTGAGGGGGGCATTATTTGTACTTGAGTACTTCCTAGACCATCTTAGTAAACGCCTTTAAATAAAAGCTAGTTAATTTAGGCTGGCTACTTGATAAACTGGATAATCAATGGTGAGCACACTAGTTGGGGTTCATGACCAATAGAACCAGAAAATCTGTGGCCTACTATCACACTGAGGGGAGCACAGGTCAGTCATCCTCTGGGGACTCAGCCTGCCACTGTGCGTGGGAGCTGGGAGAATGAACCCAGAGTGGGTGACACATAGGTAACTGATATTAGTTCTTCCTTTTTTGGAGGGGTGGGCATCGGCTCTTTTATCTAGGTAAACAGCTAGATACAGCCCATTTACTCAGAACTCATCTTCTAAGCTTTAATGGAAAGCATAGTTTCCTTCTTCATTCAACTTTTGGTCTAATCAGGACAAGTTTGGGACTTTTTGTTAGAGAATTAAATGTAAGCAGCCCCCATAGTACTGTGAAGAATGACTTGGAAAAAGAAAGGTCCCCATAGGTACTGTTTGGGCAGATTACTGAATTTTTACTCGGTGTCTCAAATTCTTAAATGACACCATCATTGTCTATAGAACTTTTATTTGTCTTTCTAGAGGAAGCAACAAAACTATTCAGGCCATTAACCTAATAGATGATGAAACTTGTGTAAATGCAGGTGATTTTTAAGAAACCAATGACAACTATGTGTTTGTTTTACTAAGATTAGTATTCACTGTACTAGGTCATCTGCCTCTATTTCTCTATATTTTAAGAATGTAAATACAGTAACTTCACTTTCATATGTTTGTGGGAGGTGAATTTTACTTATGTAACTAGGTATAGGCACCAACAATATAATAATTATCTTTAAAAATAAAGTTTTTCATTTTTATGAAGTTCAACAATTAAGGTATTTCAATTTTCCCTTTCAAAACTGTCAGTATAGATAATACTATTTTCTTCCTCTCCAGAAGCAGCTACTTCCATGTACTATTCAAACAGAGAGGCTCAAAAATATTCAGACACAGCTCTAGACACAAACCATTAATTTGACAAGATAGCTATCTGCTCCAGTCTTTCACACTGGGTAGATTTCTGGGCAAAGTAATTCAAAGAGAAATGAGGTCCCAAAACCCAATGCCTTCTCATTCCCACATCTGCCTTTCCTGGTTCTTATTAAAATCAGAAATAACCTGTACTTTTCTCCAGCTGTAACATTTATAAAACAAACACTCAAATTTGGGAGGGGTTGGAGATGACTTTGGTCACAAGATAAGAGTTTCTCACTGAATCTGAATGTATGTTATAGAAAACATATATACCAAATTGAGATCATCCTTATGTCTGTTTTCCTTTATCTACGCTGCAATTCTGTTTTTATTGTTACTATCCTTGTGTTTCTCTTATTGATAGGCCCCTGAATTCTGCTATAAATTACCTAGACTTCAGCAAAATATTTGATAAGGCATAGCATGATGTTCTTAGATAAAAGATGGAAAGATGAAGACTAGATGATAATATGACTGAACAGATTTAAACTGGTTGAATGGTTGAACTACAGTAATGAATAGTTCCATGTCATTTGGCAGGAAGTCTCCAGTGTAAAGAGTCCCAGAAATCTGGTCTTGGCATTGTGGGGCTTAACATATTTATCAATGACTTGTATAAAGGCATGCACATCAAATTTGAGGATGACACAAAGCTGGAAAGGAGAGTTAACACAACTGATGACAGAGATGGAATCCAAAAAGATTTGGAAGGTTTGAACAACAGGTTGAATCTAATTAGATAAAATTCAATAGGAAAAAGTCTTACACCTGGGCTTGACAAATAAACTTCAGAAATAAAAGCTTGGGAGATCATGATTAGATAATTTGGGAAAAGATCCAGAGGTTTCAGTAAACTGTAAGCTCAATGTTAGTTAGCAACTTTATGTGGCGCCAAAAAAGCTAATGCAATCTTGGGCTGCACTGAGGAACAAGGCTTCCAAGAATAAGGAGATGATAGCGCTTCTGTTCTCTGCCCTGATCAGACCACAGTTGGAGTATTTTGTTCAGTTCTGAGTGTCACAGAATAAAGACAGGGATAGCATTTTCAAATGGACAAAAAATATGAACAAACTACTCAAAAGAATTGCTAACTATTTCCAACCATATCAAAGATTGTTCCAAGTCACTAATAATAAGAGAAATGCAAATCTCAACAATTTTGAGGTTTCCTGCCCTCCCAGAAAATGAGCAAAGATGACAAAAGGGGGTATAAAATGTGGAAGGGGTTGTGGAAAGACATAGCAATACATTGGTGAATGTATGGTCCAACTGGTTCAAATATACTGTAAAGAAATTTGGAATTATTCTCAGAAAGATACTAAAATGTACACATTTTGAGGCAGAAGTTCCATGGCCAGGTATACAGCACAACGAGATCGATGATTTTTTTTTTAAAGGTTCCATATAGGAATAGATAGTTATAATAGACAAAGTGACAGACAGGGCAAGCATTTATTAAAGACATACCACGTGTCAGCATTGGGCTAAGCAGAGGATACAAATGCAAGTAAATGAGATAACTAGTCCTCAAGAAGCTTACATTCAAAATGGGGAAGACAATGAATATGTACAGGAAGCTGGAAGGGCCAGGATGGCATGGAGATGGTCACAAGTGGTATGGGAAGCCTGGTTCCAAACAAGATAAGGCTAAAAAAGCTCACCTATGAGAAACCAAGGTTCCAGCGTGGAGAGGAAGAGGGATCTGGATGATGGCCACAGTGGGGGGAAGCATGGTCTAAAGGTATCTAGGAAGGCCAAAATACATATAGCAACACATACTGTAGCATGGCAAAGAACTGGAAGCAAAGTATCTACCCCTCAAATAGAGAATAATTAAATTAATTGTGGTGTATGAATGTAATGGGATATTATCATGCTGTAAGAAAAGAAGGATATGATGAATACAGAGAAGGAAAGACATTAATTGATGCAAAATGAAGTAAACAGAATAAAGAAAATAATA